GATAGATAGATAGATAGATAGATAGATAGATAGATAGATAGATAGATGGATAGATGGATAGATAGATAGATGGATAGATAGGAAAATTAAGAAAGGCTGTTTTGATCAAACCTTGAAATAACACAGTTTCATGTGACATCACAAGATTTCATGCTGAGAGTGTGAATGACTCTCAGCTACTACCACATCAAATTTTAGCTCTGTCTTGGAAACTGACTGAGTATAACAAGTTTTGTGTTGGCTAATTCTAATTATATGTAGCTGCCATCTTGAATTGGGTTGACCCCAAAGGTTAATGTACAACCAATGATGAGTTTCTGAAGGTTTTGTTTAAAATCTAAAGAGAAGATATAAAAGACATCGTCTCTCTTTCATTGTCTTCTACCGTAGTAGAGACTATCCTTCCCGGGGTCCACACCACAAACATTGCAATTAAATCATGCTTTTACAAACATACAAAAAGACATAATAAAATACCCAAGATAAAAACAAAATCAAACTATAAAAATTCAAATCAACCATCACAACATTTTACAAGCATTACAAAATGACTTAAATGCTTTAAAACACACAAGAATTAAAAACAACAATAAAAAAAACACCAGTTAATCTTCATTTCTATTATGAATGTACATTTTATTTCATTATCTATCATAGTTTTTTTTAAGATTATTTTTAAAAGTGAGCAGTAATGAAATGACACAGTTAGGTTTTATTATTGTGAATGCATCTTACTGAATTTTGCACGACTTTAAGGTTAAAAAAACGATTAAAACAAGACATTGTGTTAGGTAAATATAATTTTAGCTTGCAGCTGACGTTAGCTCCAATGAGCTAAATCATTTTTGTATTAGGCTGTAAGCTTTCTCTTAATTAATGAGACAATTTAAAGGGATTAAATAGTTAATGTGTTACCTGGCATCATTGAACGGCTTCAGCTTTGGAGAAATACAGTTTAATTTTGATCAAGTTGACGAGCTAACAGATAATCAAGCAGAGCCCAAACAAAAGTGGATTATTCTTGTCTTTAAACTATTACATTCTTTAAAACAAAACTAGAAAGTGGTTCGTTCAAAAGTTATTTAATAAACTTTAAACATTGATGTCAATTTTACACAATTATTCTGACAGCCATGTTATGATGGTCATGGCTCAGGCTACATTGAAAGTGCTACAGCTAGATGCTGCTGCCACTGTTTGCACTTGCAAATAATCACAGTGTTTGCAGTAAATACACCAGAAAACTGATAGTGTTTATAAAACACCTTTACCTTGAACCACTGTGCAATTTTTATAGATTGGACTTGTTTTAAGATGGCATCAATACATTTTGGCCTTGGTCCTGCTCAGACAGTCTTTAGCTCATCAGTTTGAGCAGAAGTAAATATTGTTTATTTATACTGAAAAGTTATCTGCAACAGGTAAGATACTGTTTAAAGTATTTCAAAAGATATGACGCATTTGCTGCTCTAAGATGGGGGAGTGTAGTTTGACATTGGCTTCTTTTATCATTTATTAAAGTTTAAAACAAAATAACTTTTTTAATTTTTTTAATTTAATTGTGTCATGTGGTTAATGCAATCACACACGACTGAATAGGAGCCCCTAATTTATGGGAAGCTGTAATCACAATTTATCTTGAAATAACTTAAGAGGGCTACTAAAATTTAGACTAGGAAAACATAAAAAGTGTTGTGTTTTTTTTTTATTATAGATGTTCTTCTCCAAGTGAGCCGGCTTCATAGTTCTAAAAATCAATCTCTGCCTCTTCCACCCGTGTCTATATTGGTTCGATTAAAGTGCGATGGATGGCTCCACAGGTGAAAGCAGCACTAGATCAGTTCAGCCTTGCTGGCTTTCTCTAAAGGAAACCATTTAAAACCATCATTCTGGGATCAGCAGTCTGTGATTTGTGTGCTCCCTGTCTGCAGAGTACGCTCGTAGATCAAGGGCTGCTTGTATTTTTAGACTCCTCTTCAGAGGCCCAGGCTGGTCAGGCTCCTCTTAGGTAATACACACAGAGAGGGGCTTCTGTCAGATTTTAGAGGAAGTGGGAGTTTCAGTGTTTTCCTCTTATGCATCTGTGTGGGAACAGCATCTGTGTGGGTGCTGGACTTCAAGTGTGAGAAGCTCGTTTCAGATCAGCGGCTGCAGCGCCTGAACAAGGCAGCCTACACATGCAGCTGAAGGCTCTGGAGCCAGTCGTGATGGCAAGCCAAAACCATGTACCAGGACTTATCTTGACTCACAAAAAGAAATTATAAAAGTCGGGGATTTTGTGGCTGGTGTGACTCAGTTCTCAGTTTTAGTCTCGGTGTATTGGATTTGTCTCTAAATGATTGAATCCACTCCGTGTGTTTGAAAGAGGCTCGTTATTTTCAGCTTTTCCTCCTGATTAAAGCATGTTGTTGTCCAGTGACGCATTGCAGGAGCAGAAAATGCCCGACGTTGGGTGTGATCTTTATTAAGAGATAGAAGACATCTGTGAAGGCCATGAGTCTGCGGATGTGAGCGCGAGCCAAGATGCATGTGGAAGTACGTGGCTGTGAGGGTGCCAGACGCCCTGCCAGACATGCGTGTGTACTTGAACAGCTATATCTCCCTCAGTACATTTATGTACGATTAAAAAGAGTACACTTTGGCTGGTCTTTACCATCTCCTCACCAACCTTCTGGAGCTTTAAGAATCAGTTTGAAGATGGTGTCACAATAATAGGGAAAGTAAAATTTAGAGGTCATTGTGTTATGACAATGAGTGTTTTCATAAAATTATGTCTGTGTGCCTGTGCTAAAGGAACAAATATGGCAAACTATCATGATTTTCTCACAGGGGAAATAAACTCTCCAAATGAGTATTGCTGCACAATTTTGCTAGCTTGGTGTGATGTGCGGGCGGTCCGGCAGGCCTCTCTGCACACGAGTGTCTGCACGTTTACGCTCAGTGTTTGTGTACATTCTCTGCTGGCAGCTTTCCATGCAGCAGGTGGTCTGACTGCTGGGCATCTTGTCCTGTCAAACACACAGTTGTGCTTTCTTTCCATCTGTTTAGTTGTGATCTGACTTCTGCATGCAACAGAAAGTTTCGGCACTCAGATAATTCAAATTCACTTTTTTTTCTTTCTTTCCTTTAATTAAAGGCCTAATGATCCCTTAAAGAAATAAACATCATCATGTAAATTTTAGGCCAGAGTTTTAAACTAAGATTTTAAGAGTCATAATCATGCTGTTAAGACCATATATGTAATTTTGCAAAATCTCATGCAATAATGTGAGATCTTGTGAAATGTGTTGGCACTCAGACTGTGTGTTGGAGATAATGCTCAGCTACTACCAAGTGAAATGTTAGCTCATTATTTGTAAAATTACCCGAGTTATAGCCATTTTTCTGTGGACAAATGTTGGCAGCGAGAAGGTTGCAGGA